TTAATTAAAACACAGGATCATTTCTGCTTTATAGCTTGGGTAGCTTTCCTACCCTTGACAGGAGTTACCTCCACATTTAGATTATACTTTCAGTCTCCCTATGGTAGACAAATATAATTTTAGTTTTGATTCGGATTACTACTTTGTTTTGCAGTGCTGAAACATTTTTGTTGGAGAAATGTCTTCAGAATCAGAAAAAGATAGAGACAGGCTGGTTCAAGCTGCCCAAAAGTTCTTCTTTCATATGCAAGATCTTGCTTCCTTCACTAACATACTTATCGAATTGTTTAACTGCAGTCTGAATACTCAGATCAACCACATGACTGTGAAAGAAGATGATAATATTAAGGATGTCTTTGAACAAATGTTCAAAATTTTAAAGGAGATGCAATCTGTACTGGAGGCAAAGTATGACCAAATGCAAAAGGAACCTTTATGTTCCCAGATTGCAACAGCTGTTTGTTCCATAGTTGAGAAGAACACCAATGTAAAGGAGTTGCATCAGTCAGCTAAAGAAATGTTCAAAAATGTCCACACACCAGTCATTGTCTCTGTGCTGAATAGTAGTAACATCCTGGGGAGTTTAGAATCTTCTGTCTCACCCTTGATGAAATATCCCATCATGAATCTTCGGTTAAGTGACCTCTATAGAAAAGACACCAAAGAGCAATCAGATGCCACCACATCTGAGAAAAGCACAAGTCCAGGGCCACCCCAAATCAGTACAATAGACACCTTGAAGAAGTTGCAGGGTGCGCCGAAAACTGAGCAAACAAAGAATACCATCAAGTCCACTGCAGATCAGCTGGAGCAAATTGTCAAAGCTTTGCTACCAATCTTAGAGGTCCTCCAAAAAGTCATAAGCACTATGGAAACCAAGACGCCTGTGTCTAAGAAGACCAATGACCAGTAGGAGTGCTCATTTCTGTCAGAGAATCAGTTTGAGTCCTGTGAAATTTTGGAGTATGTTCTAAGACCTTTCATGCTAGAAATGTGTTATGTTGAGACATAAGTGCAAAGAGTAGTCACCCAACAGACCATTTACCTTGAATTTTGCTTTATTCAAATAAAAATAATCAAAGAAAGCCTGCTTGAAGTGGCAGTTACTAAAGATAACATTTTGTTCAGAAAAGCAAGGTAATGTATTATGTTTGAGGATGTTTCTAAACGTTACCTGTCATCTTGAAACAGTTAAAATAACCCCAAACTAATTTCCACCCTTAGTAATTTTTTTTTTTAACATTTATTTACCTTTGAGAGACAGAGAGAGACAGAATGTGAGCAGGGGAAGGGACAGAGAGAGAGGGAGATGCAGAATCAGAAGCAGGCTCCAGGCTCTGAGCTGTCAGCACAGAGCCTGACATGGGGTTCAAACACATGCACCATGAGATCATGACCTGAGCTGAAGTCGTACACTTAACCAACTGAGCCATCCAAGCACTCCCCACCCTTAGTAATTCTATTTCTAGATACTGCAGTGCGAAATCCAGGTAAATGTCAACGTTATCATTAGATAATCTGGCAGAAACTACTGTTGAGACAGGACACGTATAAAATAAACTTCTGCATTTCTGTCCCTTATATACCCATCTCTGAAACATTAGTGCCTTAACTCTTATATGCCATCACTAAATACTTTTGGTATGATTTATCCAGAAGTGATTGATTGATTGATTTTTTAATGTTTATTTTTTATTTTTGAGAGAGACAGAGACAGAGCACAAGTGGGGGAGGGACAGAGAGAGAGGGAGACACAGAATCCGAAGCAGGCTCCAGGCTCTGAGCTGTTAGCACAGAGCCCGACGCGGAGCTCGAACTCATGAACTATGAGATCATCATGACCTGATCATGATGCTTAACCTACTGAGCCATCCAGGCGCTCCCAGAAGTAAATAAGATCAATGAAGGAAGAGTAGTTGTTTTCTTGCTTACTTGACTAAGACCAGAGCAAACAATTTATTCTTGTCTGTTTCCTACTGAAGTTTTGTGATTAGGAACTATTGGAGGTTGAAAATGGAGTTGCTCTAACCTTTCATGAAGACTGAAACACTTGTAGGATTTCTGAGATGTGCTTTTATGGGGGAAGAAAAGTTAGACAAGTCCCTTTGCCTACCAGAAAGTCTTTGACGCTTATTCAGTGGGAAGAAGCATATGCTTTCAACATTGCCATATTCTACATGAACCTAATAAGAACTTCATTGAGAATAAGAGAAGCAATTAGTAACTTGCGTTCTTTAAAAATTTTTTTTAATGTTTTATTTATTTTTGAGAGCAAGAGAGAGCATGAGCGGGGTAGGGGCAGAGAGCGAGGGAGACACAGGATCCAAAACAGGCTCTAGGCTCTGGTCTGTCAGTGCAGAGCCCGACGCAGGGCTCGAACTCACAGACCTTGAGATCATGACCTGAGCCGAAGTCCGACGCTTAACCGACTGAGGCACCCAGGCGCCCCAGTAATTTTAGTTCTTTATTGGAATTTTTTTTTCTGAGAATACCTAAGTTTTTTCCTCGTGTAAACATTTTCTCATCTAAAGCTTTAAGTCCCATTTTCTTCTTTAAAGAGAAAACATATTTCCTTATACTTAAAAAAAGTCTGCAGCATGAGAAACTAAAAGGGAAAGAGATGGTGGGCATTTGATGGAGGGGGGAAGATGGCACTCAGTTTGTGTACTTTTTAGCCTGCGATGCAGTCACTTCCACCAAGGTTCCCAGGTCACCTCCTCAGTCATGGCTACTTTGAGGTTGCACTTTTGCTAACCTGAGTCAGGAGCTCAGCTCCAAAGCCAAGGCTGTCATTGGAATCACCACTATAATTTTAAAGTAGGAATCTCTTCCTTGCTCCCTAACAATAAGACCTTCCGAACATCCTGTGGCAAGGGCCATGGGGATTTTGACCATTTCCAGGGTTTAGAGGGTTTGCAAAAAGGATGAGTTTCATTACACGGAGTCTGCAGTTTCTCTCAGCTCCAATGCTGAAACCTTGTTTGTTTGCAATAGGTATGCATTAATAGCTGTCTTATTTTGAGGACATTCTTGAGCTGATCCATTTCTATCCTGACTTCAAAAATACGCATATATAAATGGGAGGAGGGAGACGTGGCTCTCACTTTGTTACTTTTTCTGAAACTGTGTGTATTCAGGTTTTCACCTGCTTTCTCTTGGTCTTAAGATTGTGTCCCAGGATATTACAACAGCAGGGGGAGTCACATGGAAATGAATGGGACAAGGGCCAAGAAAAGTCTTGGGCAGAGTCTTTCTGTGAAATGACTGGAAGAATGACTGGTGGCAGTTCTAGGGAAGTCCTCACCACATGTCAATGGGAACGACAGCTAGTGTCATCCCTTGACCTCAGAGATGGGCAGTGCATCAGTAAGAGTGGTTTTCAGATGCTGGTGGCTCCTGTGAGGCTGGCCATCACTGACAGTGCCTCTCACAGATATTCCCCCACCACCCAGGACCGCTAATCTTCCCACATTGATGACTTCTTGGTGGTGGCTGCTTCCCAGCCTGTGGAGATACTGTGTGTGTGTCGGTGGGGAAGCCTCACTCCTTTCCAACCTATTACTCTTGTTTAATGTTTCTCTCAAATTCTTTGTTTTGGGTTCCTCTCATTTTCTATCAGTTCCTCCAGGTTTTGAAAAGCAGCATGGGGAAGACTCACTAGTTTCTACCTCTTACCTAGTTTCAGTCCTCCTCAGGGGCCACGAGCCCAGTGTGAACTAACTGAATGAAGCATAAGTGGGGACAAAAATGTGAACTGCCATAAAGCAAAACAAAATGAAACACACGGGCATTTACTATGAGAAAATAAAGAAAAGAAGGAAGGAAAGAGGAAGGAAGGAAAACAAGGAAGGAAAGTAGGAAGGGAGTCCTGTAATACTTGTAATGCTTTTTTTTTCTTCACGTTTTCTCACTTGCCAATGTTTGGTACGTGTTGGCATCTCTGAAAGCATCTAGTTCAATGAATGTTTGTTGAATTTTACGAAATCAAGAGCTGGTTCATAGAGCATAAGTCAATTTGATTCTGATCATGACACAACTCAGGCCAAGAATCCTGGCTCCCCAGGCAAATCAAACTCTACAGAAATTTTCTTTCACTGGCTTTATTATTTTTCAAAGTAATAGCAAACAGAGAAATTCACGACAATCAGATAGGCATATTAGAACACTAAATTATAAAGATAAAAATAAAATAATAGATGAGGCCAGATAACTTTTTGTGTACACAAAAAGGAGAGAAGCATGTTTTATTTTAATAAAAATTACTATAGGAGGGAAATACTATGCAACTTTATAACACCAGCTCTTTTAACAATTCATGTGAATTTGTGCACAGTCAAGCGTCCATTTTATCTTCAAAGGTATCCCGGAAGAAAAAAAAGAGCAGAAATTACAGTGAAATTTTTGAAAGTGATGTCCTAAAATTTCATGAACTTAGACTTTGAATTGATTTAAATCAACGGTCCACTTCACGGTTTTCTTGCACAAAAACTGTGGACCATAGAGAGAGATCAAGGGAACGTAAACTATGGACATTCATCCTTAACCTACAAATCTACATAATTCAAGGGAATAACTTCTATCTCTGGAGATTTGTTCTATAAAGCAGCAGCAGGATCGTAATCCCATAAGTCACAAGCCTGGAGGGCTTCTTAAACATAGGTTCTAAGTTTCTGATTCCATGGATTGGGATCAGGCCCTAGAGCTCACATTTCTAACAAATTCTTAAGGGACACTGATGCCGCAGGTGCTGGAGGCATGTGTTAAGAGTCACCTATTTAGAATGTCTTACTCAGAAAACTGATTTCTCATGGAGATCCAATGCATTAGACTGCCTTTTTAGCTTGACTGGGTGACTCTTTCCTCTCTGGTCCACATTACAGCTTCACTCTACCAGACCTACTTCCTGACCCTTAGGTACACTGGTCATTCCTATATCCTCCGACTCTCTCCTGCTCAGGTATCTCCTTTCTACCCATCTGAACCCCTTTCTCAAGCCTCATCTCTGATAGAAAGCTGTATCCAACCATAGGTCAGAAGGATCTCATTTTTCTCTAAACTTCGAGTGCTTATTTGTATACACGATGACACTAAGCACTTGACACATACCTACACTTACTATCTTCTTCCTCTAACCCCTTGCTCCACTCCCAGTGTTCCAAGACCTCGTTCAAATCCTGCCTCCTCCCTGAAGCCTTCCTGGCATCTCTTCTTGCCTCAGTTTGAAGGAGTCTCTCTTTTGAACTATCATGAACAGAAGGCTTGATTTCCCCCTTTCTTTTGCTATTTCCTCTGTGACTCGTTTATGTTCTTTTTTTAATTTCTCCCAAGAGATTGTAAACTCATGGAAGATCTGGCCTATGACATTCAACTTTTAATCCCCACAGTGTTTTGTACATAGTATGGTTCAATAAGTGCATTTATGTGGCACAGAAAAAAAAATTACATATGCAAGATGTTGGAAGGCTTTTCTATTGCTTCACTGAGGCTCACAGCAAAGCTTCTTCCCAGAGTCAGGCCTGCGGGACTCTACTCAGTAGCCACTAACCTGCCAAGGTCCCTGGGCAATAAATCAGGAATATTGTGTTTATGGAAATTTTATCCTTGCTTTATTAGGTATAGAGACCAATGTAAGCTAGGTGACAGAGATGAGCTTGGCCCTATTCTCAAAATTCCGTGTAAAGTATTAGATGCCTGAATTCTCTACCAGGTGATTTTAGGCTAATTCTTCACTGAGTCTCTTCTCTCATGGCACGGTCCTTTTAGAAAGTTCTCCTGGGGTCAGTTAAGCTGATTTTACTTTCGTTGTTTCTTACTCAAATCTCAGAGGGGCTAAGTAGCATAGACTTTCAAAATTCAAAGGTATAGAGCTAGCCCTCACTTTCACTCCATTTAGCCCAATACTAAGGTCTTTGGAAATCCGCTAAAACAACCCCATTGCCCCACTCATATTGTATACTACTGAGGTGAGTTGGCGAACATTCCCAGCTGTGAAGTTCGATGATTTATACTCCCTTTCACTTAATTATTGTCACATAGTGGCGACTCAGTGTATCTTTGATATGTGCTTGGTTATCAGACTTTTTTTCTCCTACATCTTCTCCTTTATCTCCACACATATCTACATACATTCCTAATAAATGTACTTAAATTTTTGATGTTGACTTAAAATCCGCAATTTGCTGGAAAGTTCTTTCTAAATTAATATATGAATTTAAATTCTCACTTCTGTAATGTTTTAGAAACATGTGCAGCACCCCACTACTGGCAGTGAATGAATGAGATTTCACTAACATCTTGTATTAACTTTCCCTTTTATTTCTCAAGTTTTCGTATTTCCTCCTATCTAAGACTACACTGGTTTGGTCCTGAATGCTGATAAAAATCTCACACTTTAGTTATGTCTCTGGGCTTCAAAGCTTTTCCATCTGATGAAGAATTTGGTCTCTGCTTTCGAACTCAAGCTTCTCTGGTTTGTTCCTACTTAGGATTGCTAAAAAAAATAATGGAGAATCCTTGTATTCATGATTCCTTTAATTGCTTAAGGTAGGATATTCAATTCAAATTATTTATGCAAATATACTATTTATTGATTTCTGTAATACAAAAAGCCCAGGAGTCCAGTTTCAGGCACAATTGGATCTAGGGGCTCACTTACTCTCATCAAAATGGTTTCTTTTCATTCCTCAATTCTTCCTTCATTGTGTTCGCTCCATTCTCAAGGAGATAGAGTCTCCCCTGCTGGTGGCAAGATAGCGCTTAGTAGCTCCAGGCTCCTACTCACTCTGCTTTCATTAATCTTCACTCAAAAAAAAAAGGCTCCCACCCCACTCCCAATCCTGATGCCAAAAAATTACCATGATTGTATCTCACTGGCTCTGGCTGGGTCCTTTTCTATTTCAGTATGAATCTCTGTGTCCAAGGAGAAGAAATATACGGAGTTACAGGTCCACTCACAGGCAGTGGGCTGAGTCAGCTCTGTATCAGTTGATGACTGGGCAGAGTGATTCCCCAAGGGTATTCAGGGTGCCCTGGCTGGCGTCAAGCAAAAGGGCACAGAGAAAGCAAAACCACAAGGTTCCTTTATACTCTACTTTTGGAAGAGATGACGACACTGGTCAAGAAGGAGAGAGAAGCAATAACCATGGGAGCTGGGTTGTACTTTTTGCTGGAAGCTGTAAAAACAAACACAAAGTTAGAGATGTTTTAGGTGGCAGAGAATTTTTTTTTAAATGGCCTCATTTCTCCTTTGATTCACTTTTTTTTAAAGTTAGGAAATTCCTAATAAAAGTATTTTAAGTTGGCTACTTAAAAAAAATATTCTTTTCGATATTTTCTAACAGAACTCAGCTTGTTTATTTTGCAGATGATGAAACGGGCACCAAGAAGTTCACATATTTACTGCAGATTACCCAGCTAGTAGGTATTTGAGATCTCCTGATTTGCCACCTTTATTATCATCAGCAGCACTCCCCCCATCACCCTTACCCCCATCTAATTATCATCAGCTTCATCATCATTATGAAAGCTAACATTGATTAAACAACTCATTCTGTGCTATGATCTATTTTAAGCACTTGCTATAGATGAACTCATTTAATCCTCACAGGAAATCTATGCAGTGTTTATTCTTCATTATCCCCATTTTTCAGTTGGTAAAATGGTGACACAAAATGTGGAGAAATTTACCAAGCATCACACATCTTTTTAACCACTATATTGTTTCTCCATACTTTGCATGTCCATTTTTTAATTACAAAGTGGGCCAAGGGTATTCACACAATCTTGCTTGGTGTGTGGTGTGTGTGTGTGTGTGTGTGTGTGTGTGTGTGTGTACACTGCCTACACATGCATGCTCTTCACAGGAAGTATGAGGAAGGTTAGCAGGCAGTTAGATGTGGCTCATGGAAGCAAGACTGGAATACAAGAAACTATGTCAGGTATCACTACTAATTGGGAATTTAATGGGATGAGGATATAGAATGAGTTGGAAGATGGAAACCTTTAAAAAAGGCTCTAGATAAAGAGTGGAATCGCCTTTTTAACCAGGCTTCACTGATTATTTAGAGTAGAAAAGATGTTTAGGGTAGGAAGACTTTCAGCTCTGTGATTGCCTATTTAAACATCTCATTTGATAGGATGACCCGATGATGGAGAAATATTTTTCCACTACTTTCGCATAATAATGCGTAAAATCCTTTGAGTTTCCTGGAATTTCTTAGAATTCTATATATGCAAACAATATTTAAAGCCCCAGTTTTCACCAATAAGAGTAGACACGGAGAGTTAATAGCGGGTACAGATTTCTAAGCTTTTGCCAAACTTTGTGTAAAACTATATTATCTGAACTCTCACAGGGACCTTGGAACCATTAATACCACTGTCGCAGGTTATTCATTATTCACTTCTTGTTTTGTTTTCTCTTCATTCAGGCTGAGGTCCCAAGGACCTCTGACCCTGCCTTTCCTCACTTTTTAACGGGATGAGATTCTACTGAAGAATTATCAGAAAATATTGATTGACAGCAAACCAATATAGCAGGTAGAAACTATGGTTATTGGAAGGAATTAGCTTTGGTCTTGAAGCTTTGCCCCTAGCCTACCTTTACCATGGTAGTCACTTTCACTGGGCCCCAGTTTTCTCATCTGTAAAATGAGAGCACCTTGAGGTTTTTGGAAATACTCGGATCACTGTCATTCCACTTTGTTTCACGGCTATTACAATGAGGCTCAAAGAAGTGACAGACATACAGATATTACTATTTTGAATCATACTCATCCTTCAAACCACCTATTAAGCCCCTTTCATAATAACCAGGATATTAAAAAAGCTTACTTTAATTTTATTTTCTCAGCTAAAGTAACTTTTCTTTCCTCTTTTGTTCCTTTTTTCTCTACCTTTCTTACAGTCATTAAATTTCTACCTCACACTTTATTATTTTTTTGCACAGACAATATCTTTGTTTAGGAGAATAAATGAAAAACATCTGTGAATTAAATTCAATGCAATCTACAAAATCTTTCATTTAAGGATAACTCACATTAAACTGACTTTTGTATTTGTTTTTACTTTTCTTCTAGACTATCTATTTAATACTTTGTGTTCCCTCTGTCCCTAGTAGAGTGTTTTTCAAATTGGAGTTTGTGATGCATTGATGCCTTGTCATGACCATCACTCTTTAATAATGTCATAAAATGGGTTAGAATAAAAAACACTCTAGTTAAACGGCATGCAAAATGGTAACTGATTGTCGTGTGTGTGTGTGTGTGTGTGTGTGTGTGTGTTTGTAATTTATGTGTATGCAAAGTGAGTTATAATCTAGTCACAGTCACAGAGGATTAAGACTAATGGTAGGTTCTTAGTAATATTTTTGAACAGCAAATAAATCTCCTGAAAATACTCTAAAGAGAAAACTGTCATGGGCTTTTTGTCATAAAGCATGGGTAAAAGTTGTATTTTTGTCATTTGTAAGCTGAATGATCTCACATAAGCCATTTAACCTCTCTAAACCTCAGTATTCACATCAGTACAGTGGGGTCAGTAACCCAATGTACAGGGTGGTGGTAAGAATTAAACAGATAATGTGTGTGAAAACCTTTTGTAAATGAAATTGCTACATAAATATCATTTTACTAGTGACTTATAACCTCAATTTGGTCATCTATACCTTAGGGTATACAGCCTGGGGAGAACATGATTATTATACCTTTTATTTAATGAATTCTGAATCTGCGAATTATACCGGATTGTTCAGAAAGAGTCAATCCCTTGAAAAAAACAGAAAAAGCTAAAACTGACATACAGCGTATCTAGGTAATCTGGTATTTGGAGCCGAATGCTATCTATAGCTCGTTTCTGTCAAAATGCAGAGATTAATGAGTGTCATTATTTTAGAGTTATCTAGGAAAAAGTTGGCACTCAAACAATGGTAAGCATTGTTTCTTCCGCCTCTTCTTTTGTTTTATTTTTAACTCTCAATGTCACTGAAGCACACATTTGTGCCATTAAACTATTATTCCACTTCCATGTGCAAAGTACCTTGCAGAGTTTTTCAATTGTGTTTGAGAGAGTGGATACCAAGTACTACCACAACATTCCCTCTTGCCCCATTTTATGAATAAAGAAACAGGCTTATAGGCTGTCATTTGCACAAGGCCACGTAGCTATTAACATATGTCCAGCCCATCCTGGCTCCAAAGTCTTCTCTTTCCACCATGCTGTGGTGGTTTCCACCATCCTAGATTCATTCAGTTACTCATTCTTTCATGCATTCGGGTGAGATAGACACTATCCTTCAAGAGTAATATGATATCACAAATAGGGAAAACTTGTTTGAGATAAAGCCCAGAGTCAGAGAACACAGGAAACAGGAAGTTAATAAAATAAATAATATGTAACAGTAATAGTAGCTGAAAGTTTGGAGTACTTACTAGCATCAGGTATTGTTCTAAGAGCTTTTACATGCATAAGTCATTTTATACTCACTAGAATATTATAAGGTAGGTTTTTATTAAAATTTCCCCCTGTGTTACATATAAAGAAACGGAAGCATGGAAGAACTAAGCCATTTGTCCATGTCCTTACTGCTAGTAACTGGCAAAGTTAACATGTAAAACCAGGCTTGCTACAAACAATTGACTGTATTTTTTTCTAGAAACATGCTTAAGAATTTTGATTATGTGAAACATTTTAACAAATAAATCCTTCCTTGTGAATCCAACGATATAGAACAGAGCATGTATTTGTGTGTGTACAGATTTTTGGCACCGGATTATTTTCTTGAACAAAGCAACATTTAAGGACAAATAACTGACATAACATATTTCGAATGTTTCAGTGAGCATGAAAACATCTGTTTCTATGGTAACCAGTATAGGTCATATGAGGGGTGAGAGAAGAATTAGAAGGGAGAGCTGTTAGTTTAGAATGTCTTAAATGATTTGTCTTTTTCAAATTGACTCGCTTAAATATATTATGCTACCAATTTGACCTGCTGACTCTCTGAAGGCGACAGATTCCTGGGTGCTCTTTGAACTTGGGAATCGTAGTTACAAGTTAACAGAACCAATTTTGAAATAAATTGAAGGACTGAAGAAGCTATGCTCTCTAATCTACTGTCTTTTCATTGGGAGAATTATGGTGTCCTGGCTGACCAATTTTAAAGGTCTTCGTGTTGTCTTTCAAATATGTTGTCTGTCAGATTAAGAGGGAACAGGAGAGGAAACAAGTCACTGGCTGAGAGGGACTTGTTGAGACATAAGATAGTTTGTGGCTTCTGCTTAGGAAAAAAATTGAAGGGATAAGAAACAGGTGAGAGGACTCCGGTTTCATGAGGAATTAGATATCAGTAGAATACCATCTGTGCAGCCCTAGACTGAGGTTGATGGTGAACAATATCAGTTACCTAGAAAAACAGGTCTGGAGAGAGTCCACTGATCTTACTCCCTTCCAGTGAAGGACTCCCAGAAAAGAAAACACACCGCCACCTTCCTCCTTCCGTTGTTCATGTATGGATCAATCCAATACTGCTCCAAGATGTTGGGATAAGTGGAGTGTTACTTGTTAGTTAACAGAAATGACTTCAGGAAAGTTTCAGAAATAGCTTACTCATTGAGAAAACAAATACCACTGCAGTGAATGGCTGCAAGCATCGTGAAATTAATCAAACTTTTTTTTGTAGTGAGTAGAGATAGGTGGATATTGGTTGTGTTTGTCTCAAGATTAGTCTTTTTGTCCTCAACTAAAGTGTCTATGCTAACCACCAGCCAATGGCAGCCTTGAGGCTTCCCTCAGTTGACTTCCCTAAGGGGTTTAGGGAAGGCAGAACCAGAGGATGGAGGAGCCTTCTCTGCAACTTTCAGCCAGAGCCAAAGGAGTCAAAGGAAGAATGGCATCACAGCAGCTTGGGCTTGTTCCTCTCCCTCTTTCAATCTCCCAAATAGTTTTGTAGTTGTGCTGGCTGGGAAGACACTCCAACTCCAGCTCTTGGCCTACCATGTAATGCCTCTGACCAAAACATCACCTTCTATGACCAGTGGTAGTTTCATTCCACCATTTACAATTTCTTCCCAAGACTGCACAGTTGGGGAATTTCTAGGAAAGATTTAGATATAATAACTCACATTGCAAGTGCTCACATTCCAGATCATTTATATTGTGGCTACAGCTCCTTAGTTTTTGACTAGGGGTTGAGCTTTCTAGAATATTTTCTCATTCTAGTAAGTATTGAAACTGTTTTTAGTCAATTGCGTTATCTGGTCATCTGACCCAAGTCCCAGGTCATGTAGAGGCATTGAAAGAGAATGCTTCATTTATTCACTTATTCAACAAATACAGATTAAGTACCTCTGGTTCCAGGAGACTAAAATTAATATCGGTTAAGGCTTATTTATCATATACTATATGCTAGGGAATGTAGAAATTCTTTAGTGTTTTATTTTATTTTCCCAAGAGCCCTGTGGGGCTCTGTTATGATGCTCCTTACATAGCTGAAGAAACATAAGGAGTTTAAGCAACTGGATTGAGAACACAACTAAAACATAGTACCAGTTGGACAGGAATTTAGACAGAGTGGATCTGGGGTCCAAGTGCCTGGATTCCATGCCAAGCTCTTAAATACTATGTAGTCATATCCTGGCTCACAAAAAGCTTACAGAGCAGTACAAGATTATTGATTCCCTTAAGTATGATTTGTGATTCCAAAGATCCAGTCAAGACCAACCAAGCTTCCAGAATCTAGTGATATGCATGGCTACTCCAGCTAAGCCTTAACTCAAAGCTGTGCTTGAGTTGTTTCCTGACAGGAAAGCAAGGGTCATTAATTTGGTGTGGAGGGTCTTGAAACACCTTTTCTTTGAGACTTACAGAGAAGAGAGTATGGGTAATTGTTTGTATTATATTCTCCTTTTTCTCAGTTTCCTGAAAGCTACAAACATCATGAAATTAATACATTTTTTTGGTAATAAGTAGAGATAGGTGGATATTGGTTGTGTCAATGCCCTACAACTTTTTACTTAATATATTTTATTGTGCTCATCAACCTAGTAGAAAAATTTTTCTGTCTCAACTTCATCATGATGAGGATGAAGCAACCGTGTCATAGTCAAGTATAGTTCCAAAGAATCCTGGAAACTGGCTATGAATGTTCTCATTTATTATCAAAATCTCACTGTTTTCTTCATACTCTAGTGTTTCATATTCTCCTCTGCAAACACTAATCTCTTGGTTCTGTGGAACAGATATTCATTTCACGCATTGTACTGCCTACCACACTTCCAAGGAGAGGCAGGAGGAGATAAAAGTGTTGGTAGGTCACCTCTCCCCTGGTCTGTGTTTGCAGATAGCACCAGAGTGAGCAGGCCCAAGACTTCAGCGTGGATGATAGTTTCAAGATCTTTGTAACACTGTAGCCCCAAAATTTTGAGAAACGCTGACAGCCTGAATTACTAACAGTACCTATAGTGATGGAGTGGAGAAAGATTCAGGGATATTTCAAAGGTAGACACTGCAGTTGTGTGAGTGGGAATGAGTGCACAGGTGGATAAGGACGGTCTTCCTTCTGAATCAAACAGGGCACAGCACTTGCTACAGAAGTACCCTTTTGTGCAGTGACTGTGGCTGGCAACATACAGGGATGGAAAGGAGTCAGCCATGTATTTTTCTAAAAAAGGCCTTAACATATATTTGTGTTTCATGATGTCTCCAATTCCTCCTGCTTCAGTTCATTTTTTTCATGGTATCATCAGAGCTCTTGCTCAAATACTGCTCTAATCGACATTCCATTCCTTAAAAACTTCCAATGACTTCCCATTATCTATAGCATGAAATTTGAAAAGTCCTCAGCATAGAATACAAGAGTTTTAATGGTCTAGCTCATCTGAATCTTTCCACTCCAATCAATCCCATATTCCCTTTCTACTCTTCCTATGTCCTACACCTCCTACATTCCAACCCTCCAGAATCGTGGAGATTCCCTAAAGACACCAGCTATTTCAAATCTGTGATTCAGCATATGCTGTTTTCTGCTTGCAATGGCTTTTCCTCTCTTCTTTCACTGAAAGCCCCATGTGGTCCTCTATCTCAAGTCCCATGTGGTCCTCTATTCTGAAGGCTTTCTTACTTTCTCCAGAGACAATGAATAGCTTCCTGCATAGGGAAGCCACAGCTGTTGCTTAAACATCTAGTGTGTTGCTTAGTGCTTTTGAGTGTGGACAGTTGTTCATATTTCCATTTCTCATTAGACTAAAAATCTCCCTAGGATAATGATCTTGCTTTATTCATTTCACATTGCCTGGGGTCTCCCATTCCAGTTCCTGGAACATAGAAGATAGTTAATAGATAAGAGTGAATGAATAAATCATGCTTCCTGCTTTACTGTCAGCACTCCTTATTCCTGTAATGGCCATGACAAAAAAAAAAAAAAATGAGTTAGAGGGAGAAGGTAAAAATACTATATTTTATGTGCTATTTTTTTCAGTAGAGGTTTACTCTCTGTGTCTAGAATGCCCCACTGCAGAAATACATTTTTTTTTCTAGAGGTAGTTTAGCAGAAAGAAGAGAAGGGAAACCAAGAAAGAAGGCAGATTATCTCTAATCTGTCAGTTCCACCATCCCTGAAGGCCAGTTTCCATGGTTTTGGCCTTTCCCTCAACAAGCTTACCCAGAAAAATAACTTTTGTAAAAGAACAGTGGTCTGTGATCCTGATTAGAGTGGATTCAATTTAGATCAATAATATAATACCTTTTAGTAGCTGACAGTTATATGTGCTCTGGTTCCCAGCTGACTGCAATTGCAACCAATTTCCTCTTGGGTTGTAGCTCATATTTACAACTTTGAACAACTCATAGGGAGGGACCAGGACCTCCTTCTTGACAGAGACTTCTTCTACAGGTGCACCCAGACAGGTGAATATGGTAAATAGAGTTTGGTTTTCAGACTTCTGTGTGTCTTCTTTTCGGAGGGAGGTGGAGAGGAATTGGCCAAATCGGATGGTGGCACCTCTGTAGGCTTCCAAATTGATACCCTTCATCTCATGATGCACCTCATAACACAATGAGTTATTCTTCCCCACTATCTCTTTCCTTAGCAGCTGGATTGCTGAGGTCAGGTAGTAGTGTAGGTATTTGAAATGGAATGAATGTTTATACTGCCGTGGAGTCCTAGTAGCACTGGCCATGGCTCTGATGAAGTCTGTGCGAATGCTATTGTTTGATGTATAAACTGAGATGGCCACAGCATGCGTAATATTAATGTTCTTGGGGAGATCTTTTTCTTGGTTCAACCAGGTTAAATAGGCATTACTCCAGACCCTGTAGTAATTTCTATGTGTTTCTATTTCTTTTGTGAAATAATCCCCTTGACTTAGCTTCTCCATGACCTGCTGGCTGCATCCTTGGTACTGATCATCAAAGGAATTTGGTGCCAAGTCAAAGTTGATGTTAATGGCAACCTATAAGAAAAGAAAAATATTGATTTTAACCATTCATATCAGATGGTAGGTGTGTTGGCTGACTTGCTATACTCCATAAAGCCAAGTCTTTGCTTCAAAACTTATTTGCTGAAGTAAGTTTCATTCATATTCATTACACACTGCCCCAGTATGCCCTGCATCAGTGACCTGTGTTAGAGATTGAATTTGGGTTGATAAATATTACTAAAAGCTCAAAAAACCCTCATCTCCTCAGGGAGGAAGTGACCCTTCTTGTGTAACCAAAAACAGTATTTCTGCACAGGGAGTACTTTGAAGAAAAAAATTGTAATCTTAAAGTTTATGTATACCTTCTGCTTCCCCTGTTGATTCCCTCCACATTCTCTCATGGGTGTTAAGAAATATCTCTGTAGGTGAATACTTAAAACCTATATTAAGTCTTTGAACTTTATTTAAGAAAAACCTTCAGTAATGAGTAATGTTGGGTTCTCCCAAGGGGGCCCCAGTATATAACAGCCCTCTTTTCTGACCAATTGAAAAAATTGAGGGGGGTGGGAAAGCATATATGAAGGTTAAAATAACATCTTTACTACTGAACTGTTGGGGCACACATCTTTAAGTCTGATGGAAAGTAGATTTGCTAAGAGTAAACCTCAGAATGAGGCAGACCTGCCTACTTAGCTGTAGACAGTGTTGGACTGTGGTCCTGCTCAAAGTAAGATTCTGGTCATGGAGGTACACGGAGCTCATGCCCTTTGCCATCAGGCTAACTCCCAGGAAGAAGAGCAGACTCAAACTCATAATACCCAGTTATTAATCCTAATGTTACCAATCAAGTAAATTTGCCCAGCTCCAGAGGAGAAGTACAGTGGTCAGGAGTATGCCGAAGATAGTTCCTCCTCTTAGGAGACAGGAGTGGGAAAAAGACATTTTCTCATTGGTAGTCCATAGAATGTTACTTATTAATATCTAGTCCATATTAAACTGAAGTTAGAGATTTGAATACAAATTCATTAAGCATCATCAGTCCATATTTTTTAGAGCCCTATTTTCAATTATCCAAATTCCAAGATGTTTTCTTCTTGGCAAAGAAACTGTGCTTTTCTAATAGACAGTACTCATTATATTAGGAGATAAGATTCCATCCACTCAATGTCAAAGATGTTGCAGCTAACACTCAAAGACATACCATTTGGTGTTTTTACTGTTATTTATGATGAAAAGATGTTTAGTTTTATGTAAAATGGAACAGACTTTTAAGATTGCTTAATGATTTTAACCAATAGCTCTTTATGGAAGATTTACAAATAGTTCTACAGAATCTATTTACGCTAAAAGAAGCCAAAATCAATAATATCATGTTCTGTTCAATCTTGTAAGCTCTAAAAACTTTACTATATTACTCGATCTCAAATATGTACTTTGTTATCTCTTAACAGTAGGTTATTTTTCCTTATGCAGAACTTTAAATTATAATACTTCTTGTGACTTGATCCATATGACACAGTCTAAAGTCAAATAGGCTATTTTGTACCACTTGTCCTAAAGAAGCAGTGTTTCACTTAAGTTTTATGGAGGAGAATCAAGAAAATAACACTATGCCCCTAGCTTCCATAATGCCAAATTTATAAACTCTAAAGAATTCCACAATTGTTGATCATTGTTCTCAACCCCCTTCACTAAGCATTACTTGTTAAAATGTCTGAAAGAAATTAGAACCAAGTGACTAAAGGTCATTTAAAGGTTGTCACCAGGAAAGTGCCCCGCTGGAGCACTCACCATAAAGAAATCTCCTCTTTAATTGTGCCCTACCTCAGAACTCCCGGAGGGTGTCTGCAAGGCAGAGAACAGCATCAGGAGAGGAAGCTGCTTTGGAAGGAGCCAGATTCTCAGCACAGGGGCTGTAGGAGTAGTTGGGAAAAGAGTCCTCCTGCATCTGTTGGTCAATGGATGGTATTTGTTTGTGTTAAAAGTACTTCTTTGCTCTTGCGGCTTCATCCTGAAACGAGTGTTCAGTGTTCTCCTTTGGGAACCTTCCTTGTTCACATCTTGTTGATGACTACCAGCCAGCAGTTTTCTGAGGGAAGAGATCAACTCCAACTTACTTGCAGAGCTGATATTTCTGTGAAATAGCCAGATTTGTGCACCAAAAAAGGGATTCTAAAGTGAACTTGTTACGTTTCCCATTAAAAAAAATCCCTTATCTAGTCTGTGTGGGGGAATTCCAAAGGCCTGTTAAAGGTCAGGCTCAGCAGCTCAACCTTAACTTTCTCAGGAAGACAGGAAAAGGCACAAGCTGTACAGCGTCTGGGGCCAAGCGACATTATCTTGAGCTGCAGGGTTTCATCGCGAGTGATATGATTGGCTCCCATAGGTTGCTGGAAAGATGCCACCTCAAGGTGGGTCTATGTGAGGTACATTTGGTGCCGCTGATAGGCCGCCCCTGCCCAGAAGGGGCTGATAAGAAGCAGCACACCTTTTAGGGTTACTGTGAAAAAGAAGGCTCTCATTGCTGCTTTCCCACGATAGCCTTGAAACTCTCTAATCCAGAAACTCTTCCTGTTGGGGTCACAGCTCTTCTGTTTTCTCTTCTGAAGGCATCAGATCCTCTATCCACACTATTTCAGTATAGTGAATCCTACTGACTACTGTCAGAAGACAGCCTCTGAACAGCTGACATCAATCAAAAGCAGGGTCCAGTGTGCTGAGTTAATGCAGCACAAGTGTTCTGTTAGACATTCTCTCTCAGGCACTTCCCTCTCTAGTTTGAACATCTTTCATCTGTTCCCAATCATTGGGATAATTGTTTTTCTTGCAAATCTTTCCCATTAACACTTCCCATTTCACTATTTAACTGTGAAGAGAGACTAAATCTTGTTCTTAGAAATTCTGGTATTTTTGGGGGTGACTGTGTGACCCAGTCTGTTAAGTGTCTGACTTTGGATCAGGTTATGCTCTCACAGTTCATGAGTTTGAGCCCCACATTGGGCTCTGTGCTGACAGCTCAGAGCCTGGAACCTGCTTTGGATTCTGTGTCTCCCTTTCTTTCTGCCCTTCTCCCACGCACGCTCTGTCTCTCTCTCTCTCAAAAATAAATAAACATTAAAAAACCCATGAAATTATGGTATTCTTTTCAGCATCCTAAAATAGTTTGTAATCTAAATTTTCTGATGATCACAGCAGTTCTGTCTCATGACAGAAGTCCAGAGTATTCACACAAGTATTAAAGGGGATACAAAATTACCCATAACCTATCACCTGGACAAGGGTACTATTTAGATTTAGATTTTGGTATTACACAACACACACACACACACACACACACACACACACACACACACACATTTAGGACTGAATTAACATAGTATGCAATTTTCATACTGTTTTTTCCCTTAACATTTTTAATGTAAGCACATCTCCCTATAGTTTAATAATTATTGAAAACATGACTTTTTTTTATAGCTGCACAGTATTCCACCATAGGTGCTACAATGCAATGAAATATGGAATGGATCCATGCATCCATCTCAGAAACAGATTGATCAATGAATAGAACATAATAGTACCTCCCTTATCCAACGCTTTGACCTGTTTTTAATTCTTACAATAGCTTCTGGCCCTGAGAAATCAATCAATTAAATAAATAAATAAATAAATAAATAAATAAATAAATAAATAAAAACAATTATCATTATTTGTGCCAAGGTTTATTGAATAAATATCTTATATTTAGCTTGCTTTCAACTTTGTGCTATTATAAGCAATGATTTGTGAGCCTGTTTGGGACATAAATCTTTGTGTGTTTCTCTTCTTGCAACTTTAAGATGCAAATCTGGAGATGTGACCACAGATCGTTGAAATGCATATTTTTTGGACTTAAAGGAAAACACGATAAAATAAATATCCCTTTAAGACTTTTAAATTCTTAAGATTCCTCATTATCAACCATCAATTTGGGAGACTGAGGTGTGGTGAAGAGCACTAGAGTCTGAAAACTTGAACTATGGGCTTAATTCTACAGCTTGCTGGCTGGATCAAGAAGAATAAGCAGGCTGGCTTAGTGGGTTAAGCGTCAGGATCTTGATTCTGGCTCAGGTCATAATTTCCAGGTTCATGAGATCAAGCACTGCATTGGGCTCTGCACTGACAGGCTCTGTGCTGACAGCGTAGAGCCTGTTTGGGATTCTCTTTCTTCATCTCTCTCTGCCCCTGCTCCCCACCCCCCAAATAAATAAACAAAAAAAAGAAGAAGAAGAAGAAGAAGAAGAAGAAGAAGAAGAAGAAACAGCAAGTTGTGCTGAGCTTCAGTTTCCTAACCTTATAGGGTTGTCAAAAGTAAATAACAGTTACCTTTTATTGGGAGTGTACTGTGTTTCAAGACCCTTTTTTTAGTATCTCAACCTACAAGACCACTGTGAGGAGATAGTTTAACTTCCACGTCACAGGTGCATTTCCTGAGGCTGTGTGAGGTTAAAGAGACTGCCAGTGATCACAGGTTCATTCCTCTCCTCCCATTGGCTCCCTGTCTCCAAAAACTCTGAAGGAGTCTGTCATTTTATTTCTATTGTCTGTAAACATTTGCTAGTTTTCCTTAAGTGTGACTTCCACTTCCAGAATAATACCACTAGGGGGAAGCAGGAAACCTTGTAACCTTTTTATATAGTTCCTTTGTCCAGAATTTAAAGGAGCTGGAAGAAAGAGGGGAAAAAGGGAGGGAAGGAGAGACAGAGACAGAGCAGAGAGTGGGTCTAAGAACAGTAGTGAGAAGTTGAGACTATTGTCGTTGAGCTGATTAAAGAGAGAGGGAGGGAGGGATGGAGGAAAGGAAGAGAGAACTCTGACAATAAAATGGAATAGGGAAAGACAAGAGGTCTGATGTGTGTGTGTACGTTTTTGGATTAAAATGAAAACAATATTTTCTGATAATGTTTTTTAAAAAATAATTATTTTGAGAGAGAGAGAGAGAGAGAGAGAGAGAGAGAGAATGAGCGAGGGAGGGACAGAGAAAGAGGGAGAGAGAATCCCAAGCAGGCTCTGTGCTGTCAGTTCAGAGTCCAATGAGGGGCTTGATCTCATGGACCATTGTTGCAGGATCCTTTACCTCAATACCCTGGGGTTCGTTGTCTCCCCGGCTTGAAGAAAAGAAGTGGAATGTAAAAATGTGAGAAGTGAAAATGTGCAGCAGGCAAAAGTTTATTACAGTATAAGATTAGAAAGTAAGAATAGTATGAAAGCTCTCTTTGCAGAGAAGGAGCATGTGAAAGTGAACGCCCCCGACTATAGGCAAGGCTCTTTGCTTTAGAAGGTTCCGGTCAGTCCCCCCATACTTTCCCCCTTGTTTCTTCTCAGTTTTCATCCTTATTGGCTTGATAACTCTAGGTGCTGGGTTGTCCATTCCTGGTTGGCTCGATTCCATTGTGTTAGGAGTCCGACTATGGTCATACTATCCCTTGTATAACATAAGTTTTATGTTTACTTCTTTTAGTTAGGTATTTTGACTGTCAAATTCCTGAGGAGAACCTGAGGGGGAGGAGGTGGTATCTGTTAACATTCTTAAGAGGGACCTTAGGCCTGAAGGAGCTTTCTGTGGTCAGATGCTCCCAGCATTGTTCGAAAATATGTGTTGTTTTTCACCCTGGGACCTCAGGTTCTAACCTTTCCCTCCCTGCCTATTTTATCCTACCTTTCCCTTATCATACCCAGAGATCATGACCTGAGCCGAAACCAGGAGTCAGATGCTTAACCGACTGAGCCACCCAGGCGCCCCTTTCTGACAATATGTAGAGTCATGAAAAAGTCATCTTTTGCCTTGGGGGCTATTTTATGAAAGTTCCCATGTGATAATTTAATATTAGTTCATTTAGAGCTGGGAGTTCACTCCATTATCATTTTCTTGATACCCAGTTCCTTAAAATGCAATCTATCTCTGCTGTCTTGATGGGTAAAAGGGATGTGGGCTTTGAAATCGCACAGAACTGTGTTGGTATTTTGCCTTTATGTCTTCCTTCTTTTTGTGAATTTGAACAAGTTATGTTGGTTCTCAGTCTCATTTTCTTCACATGTAAAACTGAAGGTGGTATCACTCTTATAGGGCTGTGATGGCAGTGAAATTGAGATACTCTATAAAATATCATGGAATGGATCCATGAACCATACTGTCTCGGAAGCAGATTGATTAGTGAATAGAGAGGCACTTTGGTTCAATTCCTAGTTCTATTATGACCTTAATGTCTGACCACGGGCACAGTATTTTACCTCTCTGCTCCTCAGTTTCCTGTTTCCTAGTGCCACTGACACCAGCTTCTCAAGGCAGGTGGGCTCAGCTCACGCTCTACTCAGATTTGTGAAGACCAACAACTCACAGGGTGTCCAACAAAGTAAAAGTTAATTTTTATTATTTTTTTTTCCAAATAAACAGCTGTTTAAGAAAAGGTTTTCAAAAAAAAAAAGAAAGAAAGAAAAGGTTTTCTAGAATAAATTCTAAACATTCTAGACTAGTTTTGTAAAGCTACTAAAGCTACTTTTGGAGCATAGGTTGAAGTAGTCCTAGAGGGTCTTGTCCCAGGGGAACTGTGTCCTTTGCCACCAACCTAAAGGTTTTGTAATGGCCCTGAGTACTTCCTGTTTGGATTTTATTAAACTCCTTTGGACCTGTGTCAATTTAAGGCCAGAAATCCTTGTTATCTGCCAGAAATCCTTTGTTATCCAAAGGAAGGTAGTTTGATAGAGACCCCCAAATTTGGTAATTTGGGATGGTTTTAACATCTTGTTAGTTCTCTTTTACCCTCAATACCCTTACAGAAGTGAGCAAAACTTCTTTAATCATTTCATATTTTTATAACTTTTATTTAGATAAAAATTTTAACTCACAGAAACATTTCAAGTCTGTATAAGGAACATGCATATGTCCAAGGAATTCCCCCATACCCTATCCATAATAGATAGCACACATGTTTAGATTTCTAGATTTTCCCCCACTTGCTCTATCATTCTCTTACTTTTTTTTTAAACCACCTGAGAATTAATCATAGACATCATCCCCCTGTGAAAAGATAAACTGAGGCATATTAAAAATGTTAAGAACTTATTTGTGCAAAAATAGATTCAAATCAGGCAGCACCAGACCAGAAGTGATTAGGAGAGCTCCACCAATAGGGTCCAGAGGCAAGATTTTTATGGAGAAAGGTGGAAGCAAAGCAAGGACATTATTTGATTGGCTGTAGTGTAAGCATTTGCCTCATTTGGGAAAGCTTAGTTGGCTGTTTGTGATTGGTT